CCATCATCTCGACTCCTAAATGCCATGAAATGGCACAGTTACGAGTGATGCTTCTTACAAACCGTCGATAGTTTCGTTCGCGCAGTAGAACGCATAGGCAGCGGCTGGGTTCAGCTTCCATTCGGACTCCTCAGGGAATTCTAGAATTGCAACTGATAATCTACCGATTTATCCTTCTCAACGGGTATTTCCTCAATTAGAGCTAAAAGCATATGCAAAGCAGAGAAATGAGCAAGGATATAAGTAAATAGCCAGTTCATAGAGACGGCCATGTCTGCAGCTAGAGTTGTGGAGGTCCACTGATTGTATTCAGAATTGAGTTGACTTGACACGTGAACATGATCTGCCAGTGACTACTGAAATATGACTCCGTTTTTTCTACCCATCGGATTACCTCATTTGCAATTTATCATCGACCTGTCACTATACCGATATTTTGTCTGATCCGTTCACTTAAGTTATTTATAATGTCAAACTGTAAACTGAACTGTTGAGCAAGAACCCGCAATAACGACCTTCAGAGAAATTGTCCGAAACCACCTGCCGTATTAGAAGAAGCAGAAGGAAAGCATCAAGGTCTTGGCTAAATATTGCCTATGAACGGCATGCAAATCTCCAAACGAACTCTGTAGCCTACCATGGAAGGGATTTTACGAACAAATCAAAAGTCCGGGATTGTGTGTCATGAACAGCATCCGTGGGAAGGGTCTCATTGAGCAACAGGGAAGAAAAATATTAAAACACGATATGGGACATGCGATTTGCCTCACCACAGTATATGCAAAAGACTCTGTTGTTGCAGAACGCAGCGCCCTGGAAAATGACGCCACACAGATGCAGGTAGGCGGCATTTCTTGACAGAAACTTACTGGTGAGAGAGGAAGAATTTGAACGTGACCGCGAGATGGACAGACAGAAATAAACTAAAAGAATTATTCAGCCCCACCACCTTTACCGCAGTTGAATAGTTGCTCATAAACATTGCGACATTTCACAAGGTAACCGTAGAACGATTGAAATATTACGACTGTTGACATCGTTGAACTACGATCCCGGTGCCCATCAGAGCTAATCATTCTACAATGAGGAACACAACTGAAAGTTCGTTCTACCGGACGTGTGACTCGCCATCTTGAAATGCAAAAGTATGGTCTATGATTCACTGAATTCATAAATGGTAGTGCATTTCCTGATTCAATACTAGGTTACATAC